CTAGCTTTTATTTTTTGAAAAATTATATTTAGTAATGCAGTAATAAACACATATTTAAATAACTAAGAAGAGCATGGGTCGGTTATTAAATTTTAGAAAAGGTATTCAACAAACAGTCTCGCAAACTACACTTTCTTTTTAGTTTTCTAAATAATGGTTCATTATTATATATTTAGATACATTTTATTTTAGTTTGCTCTTTTCAATGCATAGTTTTTATGATTTTATGAAAGCTTGTTATTAAAACGTTTTTTATTTAAAAGTTTAAAATACTTTAATGTAAAAGTAAAATTTAATTGCTCGACTGAAAGACTGCCATGGCAAATCAACGCACCGATTTCAATTGTTACCCCGATAAAATTAATAGGCGTATATTAAATAGAAAAACATTAATTCTAAAAAAAAAACAGCTGTGCATCAAGTTAAGTCAAAGTATAATATGTCAAATCGTATTATCAACGGTTCTTAGCGTATATGTAAATTTGAAAGAAATCGGTCCGGTAGAGGTGTTCGAAATTTCGCTCGCCCTTTTCGACCCATAACGGCGAAAGAAAAAACAATAATGTATCAAGTTTTTTGTAAAAGATTTTAATGAATACACATTTATAAAATGTTTAAATAGCAAGCTTCTTAAATAATACACTAAACATATTGCCCTACTTTGCTTAGGCTTTTTAAAAACACAACATTGGTGATTGATTGTTAGGTGGAGTACTTTGTTTAACCAGCAATATCTATTTAGGGTAACGTTGGTAGAATATTCTCAAACTTATTTCTCTCAAGTAATTAGAACTACAGAGGCTTCGTTGATAGAATAACTCAAAGATTACATAATATTAACACTTAAAGTTAATTTCTACATTTTAGAATTATACGTAGCTTAATTTATAATGATTAACTAACTAAAATCAATGTTAAATTTCGTATTTTTTATTTTTATTTAAAAAAATATATAATTGGTTGAAAAATAAATACTTTAGAAAATTACTTCCTTTATAAGTAGACCGAATGATGTAGTCTTTGTTTACAATTTTTAAAAAAATGCTATCATTATATAAGAAAATACGGCATCTGAACAAATTTAACGGCCACCGGGCTTTTTTTTCCAACGGCAGAATGTATTCTTGTTATCCCGGCATAGGTGTCTTTGAGCAAAATAATTTTTTGATATATAGCACATATAAGAATAATTTCACTTGCGGTCAATTTTTAACCCTCGTCGAGGGCTTAGAGTATGGCCAACTGTTTTTCCGTAAGGCCTAACCGTTTATAGAGGTGCATGCAAAATATTAGCCAGATGCAAAGACAGTAAGCAAATCTTTGTTGAAATTATCCTTTGTTTTTTTTACATAAATTACAAAGATTATAAAGGTATATACGACAAGTTAGTTTTGACCGCTTTACATATTTTCTCAGGTTTGGCACGTTTTTCTGACATCCATAGGCGTTTTTCTATGACCTCACAGAATATAAAAATAAACGTTTTTATAAGGAATTCGGACTGGTCACTTCTAAAGCCCTTCCGAATTTTTCCGAAGATAACGCCTATGTTTAGTCACCCCCGCGGGTAGAGCGGGTTTTGTACTTTCAGATATTTGTATATCTTTTTTTTACTTTCTCGTATATACGAAGTATAGAGAAATTCTTGTAATCGTGCAAAAAAAATAATAATCGAGATTTTTACAAATCTCGACGTTTTACATCTCACTGATACGGAAAAACTTAATATTGCAATCTTGTCAGTATGTCTGTGTGTCTGTCTGTGTGTCTGTCTGTCTGTGCGTGTGTGTGTAAACACGATAACTTGAGTACCGTTACAGATAGGTTGATGAAATTTTATCAAAATCGTAGATCCGTATCAACTTTTGAGCGATTTCCGATAACCGAAAGTGGTACTTTTCCTACTTTGAAATTTTCAACAGCTTATAACTTGAGTACTATTTCAGATAGATAAACGAAATTTCACATGTAAGTAAAAGATCTAATTCTCTACCTTCTATTAGAGTCATTTCCGTTGACTGGAAGTAGTAATTTACGCTACTTCCGATTTCTCAAAAAACTAATGTAAATTTTTAAAGTACTAATAATATTGCGCACTATTATGCACTTTTTTATTTAGCGTTCACTAGGTGTGCAATTCTTTTGTCTACGAGATTTTATTCTATTTTTAAAACTTTAAGTATTTAAAATGGATTAGAAAAAATCATGTCTATAGCTCGAGTTTTCATCCCCTGTTATTTTATACAAAAATATTCGAGAAAGTTTAGGGGAGATCACTCCCGGTTTATTTTACAAAACAGTACTATGTTTGTATCAGGAAATATGGTCCTTGGTCAATTAAAACAGTATTCTGGATTTTTCCTTTTTTCTTAACTCCTGGGGCCGATGAACAAACTTAAAGAGTTTTCAAAGGCTTCCTAAGTGGGATTTTGTTTTCAATACATAGCTCATATAAGAATAATTTCACTCGCGGTCATATTTTAGTCCTCGCCGTGGGAGTAGAGGCTGTCCGGTAGTTTTGTCATACGGAATTATTTTTTACGAAGGTCTATGGAAAAAAATGAGCCAGATGTAAATAGTCAATGTACCCAAAAATGGTTTTGCAAATAGTCACCGTTTTCACCAAATTAAAAATGTTAACATAGGGAAATTCGGACCGGTCACTTTTAAAGGCCTTCCTGATTTTTTCCCGAATATATCATTTTTTTGTTACCCCCGTGGGTCATTCTATGACCTCAGGAGTTATGAAGAGGTTCCTACGTGGGGAATTCTTTAGGATATATAGCTCATATAAGGCAGAAAGAGAAAGGAAGTTGAATTGAAGATTGTAAAATCTTATCATGAAAATTAATATCCATATTTAATAAATAATGATAAGAGACTTTAAAGACAATGGAATGTTAAACACAAATTTGTTTCCCAGTATATCTAACGTATGACGTGCTACCTACTTGTGACGCAATCGCTACCCAGGATATATAGACATTCAGTAAGTCTTCACTACACAGGATGTATTGCTTATCAAGACGTGTTCGCTACTAAGAACAGCCTCCCTACACATCACATTACGAACAACACTGGCACGGTTATCAGCGGTAAATTTTTGAACGAACATATCTACATTACCTAAAGGTCTAGACGTATTACATATAACACATACACTAATTTTCTCATTCTTAAGTATTAAAAAAAAAATAGTAACAACAACTAAAGCTGTGTGGAAATAAGATAGATGAAGTAGAGTTTATCTCTCTGTAAGATCCCGGCATTCAAACTGAGATAGAGATCAGCTGTACGTCTACAATCTATATATATTTCGTTAGAAAAACGAGAGAGATTCTTTTTAAAAACTTACCAGTAACGTAGGGCCATCCTTCAGTTGAGAAAATGACAACATTGAAAATAACACATAAGGCGATAAAAAATAGAAAATAAACTCGTTTCAATTTTTTTGAAATTAGAATTTGAATCATTTAGAATAAGAAAAGCACGGGGAGTTTATAAAATCGAGTCTGACTGCGGGTGGAGTGTGGTACGATTTTTACTTACGTGGGGTGAAAACACAGGTGCGAGGCTACCGTTGCACAACCTGTGATTGGCTAAAGGATTTATATATAGTAACGACCTTTTTAACGTCTTTATAATATATACGTAACTAGCGAATTTAATATATATATATATATATATATATATATATATATATATATATATATATATATATATATATGTATATATATATATATATATATATATATATATATATATATATATATATATATATATATATATATATATATATATATGTATATATGTATATATGTATATATATATATATATATATA